TACAGACCAGCCATGCTAAGGGCAACACTGAGTAAAGTCCAACTAAACGAGGGTAAATCAAATGTAACAATAATAAGCTGCAAAGAGCCACAACAATGAGAAACAATGCGAGCATTAGGGCGTCGCTGTGCCTCTCACTATGCCAGCCCGCTCGTTTCGACCACCGGTCTACTTTGTGCTCTCTCTGAAACCTTCTTTTTCCCGTTTAGTCAAAAAAACGAAAAAAATTACTCCCCGAAAGGATCCGAGATAAGAAAGAAGAAAAAGAAAATTCAGAATGGAAGAAACACGTTGAAATATCCCAATAATAAAAGATCTACCCGTTGTTAATTAATATTCTTATTATTACTCATTAGCGTCGAAGAGAGATTTGAATTTTCGCGGGCAACGAGCAGAGTTGGCTGAGCATAGCGAGGGCCAGCTACGCCCGTAGGTTTAAGTCGGGACTGACCACTGTTTAAGAAGAAGTGTTGCAGTAGAAGGGAGGCGATAGGCTTGACTAGAGATTAACATAAGTGGGTTCTTGCTGAGGCGAGGAGACATTGGAGGCAGTGTTGGTGTTTGGAGGGGCAGTCGCTGCCCCTACCGTCCCTCCACCACCTCCAGCCCCGACCCCTGCCCCCGCGCTACTTCCCACACCGTGATGGATTATGCTCGCGTGGATGCCCATCCCCGCTCCATGCTCCACTGGGCTGCCAAAACCAACCACCAGCCATTAAAGGGGCGCTCGTCGCATCGACGTTATCACTTTAATCCCACCTTAATCCCACACCGTATCGTCGTCACCCACACGCAATCAGTCCGTGGACACGCACGAGCTGTCCGCGAATAATAATCGACATCGCGATATATCCTTCTTTTCTACATTATCGACCCTGTTTTTTCCAGACGATTCTCGGTACAATTGTATATATGTACATTCACGAGTTTCGATCTACTTTATCGACGATCGTTTCACATCGACTTACCAGGTATATTTTCTTCGTTGAATTACTTTTTAGAGGTTATGTTTGGTATGTAGTGTTCTTTTTTCAGGTTCGAACTGGTATATCGATGTTAAATGAAACGAGGTCGAGAAAGATTTTCGAACGAATAAGATATCTGTCTGGTGTGAGCGATTCTGCTCTGTCTGATCAGAAAATATGTCTCCCAAGTTGGTCCATACTTATGAAGATTCCTATAGGTCGCCACTGTGTCGAAGTTAATGCAAATGTATTTTATATATGTTTCTCTATTGAGACAAGTCTGTACTTCTACAGCGGAGACAAGTAACGATTGAATAAAATAAAAAAAAAAAAAAAGAAATTGCTCGAGCCAAGTGTTGTTTTTATTAATTGACCATTTTCATTGAACCGTATCCATGCTTTCTCAATTCCTATGCTTCTTTTCTTTCTCTGTTTTGTATTGTTCTGATTTAAAAGACGATGTGTAGAAAACACAAAGCGCGAAGAAAAATAGTCGCGTGGTTGGGATTCGTCATCGCCCCTTTAATGAGGTCCATGAGATTCACAAACCCAGCCGGGAGTTGGGGCGTTCGGGCGCACTGTGCGATTACGTACAGTGAGAACGGAAGTTATAGTGGCGCTAAAACGGGTGGCTCGTGATGCCGCAATAAACTACAGTGTGGTTTCTAGTAGAGATATTTACAAGCAAAGTACAAGTGGATGATGTCGTTGGATCGATCCAGCAGCGTGCGAGAAAGATCCCTAATTTTCTGACTCTACATTCTCTCTTTGAAGTATATATTCATTTTTTCTTCTTCTTTTTTTTCCAGGTACTAAATATCTATTTTTGGAAGACACATTTTCTGACGGTCGCGCAGAGTTCGCGCGTTCTAGTTCGTTTCTTTTCTCTTTTTTTTTTCTTTTACCGAGGAAATCGATACCACAATTTTTCATCGCGAGAACTCGAATATGATTTTTCTCTTCGAACACGATTTAATTTTCTTCTTAAATTTCAACGTGGTTGTAAAACAACAGGCGAATCGAATCTCGAATCTCTTTTGTTCAGGCTCTCTTTCAAGTTCCACGATAACATGTGGATGACGGAACGGAGTAGAAGACGCTAACAATAAGAAGTGGTGATAATCGAGAAATAACTATTTTCGTGCCCGGGTTGCAAGTCTTTTTATACGTCGACCATGATGGCCCGATTTTCATCATCGATCAACTATCGTATTTTACATCTTTATCCGGTTATCACAGGCTGTACACGCTCGAGTATCCTCCATTTTGGTACCGTTAACTCAGAAACTCCCATATTTGAAAAATCCTTCGTAAAAAAATCATAGAAAAATTACGTTTGAAAGAAGATACTCGTACGTATTAGCCAGTGTCTCGTATCGTTCACCATCATTCACCACATAGAAAAAAAAAACGTAACTTCCTCTAGTGTTTCACTACATGAACTGACGTGAGACTTCTATATAGTTCCTTTTCAACACTTCTCATGATCGAAAAAAAAAAAATACATATGTACACGCGACCGGAACAGCGTGCGCAGCTTGTCGACAAGACGGTATAGAATATATTCTCTCTCTCTCTCTCTTTCTCTCCCATCTTTCTCTCCCACTCTTTCTCTCTCCCTTTCTTCTCAAGAAGCAACGAGTTCAAACCATCTACACGATGCACACGTACCTGCACGGCTTGCACCACTGGCTTTGCTGGTCTAATCCGTACCTGGCGCGACACTTCTTCATGTTGTTACCTAGAAAATGCGAAACGTGCACCGATTAGCTCGTTGCACAGCTTCTCCGTTCACTGTGAACAATGGGGGGTGGGAGGCGTTTAATTCTTTTTTTTTCCTTTTTTTTTCTTTTCTATTCTCTTTTCTCTTTTTTCTTTTTTTTGCTTTGAACATACCACGTATAGAAGATATACACGTATATATCGTCGAATTTCTCTCCTTTCTCTCTGTTTTGCCAGACGGATGACGGTAATTGACAGTGACGTTCGAGCCATGAATTGGAGAGTTGATTCTTTTTACTTTTTTGCGGGGGATAATCGTCGTGGTTACAAGAATGAGATACTTTTGATTTTCTTTTTTTTTTTTCTGAAACGGTTCGTTAACACGACGATAAACGACAACGGTATGCACACTTGTTGCGGCAATGCTGATAATACGGAACGAATTCAACGTTTGTCAACTAGTCATGCGTGTAACAGAACGATCGTGACCGATCGAGCTTGAACTGAAAAATCGAGCGTGTTTTTCTTTTCCATCGTGTGAAATGTCAGACGGATCGATTCGTTGGGTGATTTGTTCGGAAATTTCGTACGGTCAATTTCAAGCTCGAACGGCGTGTGGAAATTTGACAATATATCGGTGAAGCAGGGTCTTCCGGGAAGACGTTCGAAGTTTTCTTCGTTGAAATTTCGCGTATCTCGATCGGAGAGAAAATATTTCGTCGCGATAAACGTCGTGAATTATTTTCCAACGCCCGGGGGGGAAAAAGATTGCACAGTCTTCCGGGAAGGGCCTTGCGAGTCGACAAAACAAGAAAAAAAAAAAAAGAGATATATATTCTTGTCAAGCTGAGTAAAAAACGGCATGCAGCGTAAAAACGTTAAGAACGGCGTAAAAAACACGATCAAAGATCATATCTACTCAATTAATGTCGTGAATCTGTATTAAAAAACGCAAGCTCTATACAATGAATATTAAAAAAAAAAAAAAAGATGAGAATGTAATATGAAAAGAAAATAAAAAAAAAATAAAAGAAAGAAGAACAAAAACGACGCTCGAGCGCTCGGGCGTCGCGAATCACAAAAAAACAACTCGCGTATATTGCAAAGGGGTCGAGAATATATAATTGAGTGATATCTGATTAAGAAGGTGACCATAGAAAAAAAAAAAAAAAAAAAAAAAGAAACAGGTGGTCGAGGTGATGAATGAAAAAAAAAAAAAATGAATTACGGTCGTAAATATGTAAAGAATCGAACGAATTGACAAAAAAGAAAATTAGTGAAGAAGAAAAAAAAACGAAAATTCGACAGGGTCGACAGGCAATGTTGAAACGATCAAAGGTGATGGCGAGCGTAAAAGAAAGAAAAAGAAGAGACAGAGTGGGGCCAGAGGGTAGCGTATCGGTGAAGAAAGTAACGGAGGAGAAAGTGAGAGTGAGAAAGAAATAGAGAAAAAGGCAAGAGCGCATAGGAAAGACGTAGAAAGAGAGAAGAAGGTGAAGAAGTAGAAGGGGAAGAGAAAAAGAAAAGAAAAAAAAAAAGAGAGACAGGTGAAACACAGAGAGACTGAGTGAAGAAAATTAAAAACGCTTAGGATTGTCTGATTGCGGAGTATAGGTCCCTGTAAAAATGCAAGATGGCCAGCGTCCCCAAAGTTGTATACGTAATTAATAATTAATAATGCTGTGTCATGTGCGTGTACGTGTGTACTGAATGCGCTCGTGTCCCATTTTTCTAACATTCGTTCCCCGTTATATATATTTGATAAGACAACATATATAATGGAAAAGCTGTCGGACAAAATCATGGTGGCACGCACGTGCGCATGCGTACGTGCACGCCCGCTACGCGAGTGTATATTTTTTTCAATTTTTTTTTTTTGCTCTACTCAAAGACTTTTTCTCGAACGTTCTCTTATTTTCTCATTTTTCTTTTTTTTTTT